TGGTTGTCACCTTTCTATAAGCTAATGTCTATTTGGCTAGGGTTTGCAGACCTACAGTTCTCTGAGCTTGTTTCTTGAAGCTTTTCAAGTCTCAATTGGTGGAAGTATTGTTGTCCTCCTTGTTTGGTGTGTTGTTCTCTATTTGGGTGGTTGGTTAAACCCCTATTTGTACTATTAACCCCTTTGATGGACTGAATTATCTGGAATGGTCCAAAGGAATTAAACTATATGCCACAACTAGGGGGAAAGCTGGTTACATAAATGAAAAGGTTAAAGAACCAAAATTTGGTACAGCTGAACAATAGATGGGACCAAGAAAACAGCATGGTTATGTCATGGCTTTTGGGTTCTATGCTGCCTCATATAGAGAAAAACTTCATATGGGCTGATATAGCTTGTGAGATTTGGGAACAAGTCAAGGCAACCTACTCAGAACAGAGACATTATGCGAAAATTTACCAGCTCCAAGCAGAATCATCTACTTGTAAACAAGGAGACCATAGCCTATCTGCATACTACTCAGCCCTTACCTTTGTATGGAAGGAGCTAGACCATTATCAGACCATTGAATGGAAGAATGATGAGGATGATAAAGCCTAGAAAAAATGTGTCTCCCAACGAGTGTTTGCTTTCTTATTGAGGCTGAATCTTGTTTATCAGCCACTTCGGGTGCAGATATTGGGAAGTAGAAAACTTCCCTTAATAATAGGAGGTATATGCCTTGGTTCAATCTAAAGAGAGTACAAAAAATCTAATGAATGTTTCTGAGGGGGAGCAGCTAGTTGCCCTAACTGCAAGAAGGGATAACATTGGAATGAAAAAGGGAGAATCAAGGAAAAATCATGACAAGGATAAACTATGGTGCACACTGCCAAAGGCCTAGACACACCCGAGAGACCTATTGGGAGTTGGTGGGGAAGCCCAAGTGGGCAACCAAAAATCAAGATATATCAAATAAGCCTACTCAGAAGAAATTTACCTCTACAAACCAGGCTGCATAAGATTGTCAATCAAATAATTTGACTACTATTACTTTCCAAGAGCATTCAGTTGGTTCTGACCCTAAGGAAGACATCATAAACTCCTTTAGAGATCACTTGGAACTATATGGTAGGACCCTTGGAGAGATGGATAGGTTTGCTCCTACCCCTTCTACCTCTTTTTCTTCTACATTAGGTAAAAGTGCTTCTACATTTCATGTGTCTACCTATGTTCTAGATTCCCCTTGGATCATTGACTCAAGGGCATCAAATCATATGACTAGTAAGCCAAATTCATTTCAAACCTACACCCTTCTCTCCGGTAGGGACAAAGTGAGACTAGTTGATCGGTCCTCCACTATTGCTAGTCAAGGATCTGTATATCCCTTTCAGATGGACTTTTTTACCCCATGCCCTTCATGTTCCCAAACTTCCTATTAACTTGTTGTCCATTAATAGTAAAGGAGATATGGTTGATGGCCTCTACATCTTGGAGAATAAAGTTGTTCCTACAGTATCAGCTCCTGTGAGTCTTATTAGTTAGTCAGTGAGTCAGTTTACTAAAAGTCAAGTGTGGTTGTGGCATAATCGCCTTGATCATTTGTCCTTTGAGTCTTTGAAAGTTATGTTTCCTGAAGATTTTATGTTTGTTCATTACTGGATTGCAATGTTAAACATGTCAATTAAGCAAGCATTGTAGAACAAATTTTCCTTCAAGTAATAAAAGATTTGTTTTGCCTTTCCATGTTGTGTTTTCTAATGTTTGGGGCCCAGTGAACATACCCACTGCATGGTACAAGTATTTTATCAGCTTCATTGATAATTATTCCAAATACACTTGGATATATCCTATGCATTTCAGATAAGAGGTACCCAGAATTGTGATAGATTTTCACTGCATGGTTTTTAACTCAATTCTATGTTGAAGTTCAAATTTTCCAATCGAATAATGAGAAAGAATACTTTCATCATGATTTAACTGAATTTTTTACATCTCATGGATCTCTTCATAGAAGCTCTTGTGCTAAAACACTACAACAAAATGGTGTTGCCAAAAGGAAGAATCGACATCTTCTTGAAGCTACCAATAGTATGATGCTACACATGAATGTTCCCAAACGATTCTACGTTGATGCTATGATGGTCGCGGCTTATGTTATCTATTGTATGCCATCACATCTCTTACAATACAAGGCCCCACATCAACTCCTTTTTCCCCAATCTCATCTATCTTCTATGCCATTACGTGTGTTTGGTTGTAAGTTCTTTGTTCATGACTTGTCTCCAAACTGGGGTAAGTTGGACCTCAAGTCTATTCCATGTATTTTTTTTGGGTTATCCATCTTCCCAGAAAGCAGAGGCAGAGCTAGGAAATTTTTATGAGGGGGGCCAAAACCTAAGGTAGATTGAGAGGAGGGGGGAGGGAGAATAAATATGGATGGTCATAGGGGGGGGCCAACCCATTGGGGTGGGGAATGGGGAGGGGAAATTTTATATAGAATAGTAGGGATTTTTGGGCCATAGGGGGGGGCATGGCTCCCCTGGGTCCCCCTAGCTCCGCCCCTGCCAGAAAGGCTAAAAATGCTTTAATCCTATCACACATAAGTACTTTGTATCGATGGATGTATCCTTTTTGAGTCTGAACCTTTCTTCCAGGCATCTCCTCAGGAGGAGAATAGTGTGGAGGAGGAGATGCAAGTCCCTCAGGTTTCTCTTCTTTTTATTCCTGACTCTTCTCATTTTCATGTTTTCCTAAGGTGTCATAAGGGACATCTAAGTTCAAAGGGTGTGGGGAGCAGCTAGAAACTATACATCCATCTTCCTAGGAGGTATGTTTCTAAGGATGTTACCTTCCTTGAATCCTCATCCTTTTTTCATTCACTTGTCCTTCTTTTCAGGGGAGATTGCCAGTTAGGATCAAACTCCACTCTACCTTCCTATTCCTATTTCTATGTCTACTAGTTCTTCTACCTCTCATCCTTGTAATGAGAGCACTCCTTCCCCTCCTCCTCCACCTTCGGTGTATCAGTCTCGATCTTAGCACAAGTTCTTCTTCCTCTCATCCTTGTAATGAGAGCACTCCTTCCCCTCCTCCTCCACCTCCGGTGTATCANTTGTAATGAGAGCACTCCTTCCCCTCCTCCTCCACCTCCGGTGTATCAGTCTCGATCTTAGCACAAGTTCTTCTTCCTCTCATCCTTGTAATGAGGGCATTCCTTCCCCTCCTCCTCCACCTCCTGTGTATTAGTCTTGGTCCTAATAGCAATTCTTCATCAAGTGCAATAAGGAGAGTCTTGAATCTGAATTCCCATCACAATCTAATCCCTTGAACACATGTAATTATGAACCTCCTAGTACTTCTATTACCGAACCTAATCTTTACCTTCCTATATTGCCCTGCAAGGGAAAGAGAACATGTACCAAGTATCCTATTACTAATTATGTGTCATATGATGCTCTCTCACCTTCCTATTATGCCTATATTTCTGCCATCTCCTATGTTTCTATTCCTCACAGTGTTACAGAAGCAATGCAATCTCCTCACTAGAAGGAGGCTATGAACAAAGAGATGGAAGCCTTGATAAGGTCCCTATTGGGTGTAAGTGGGTGTACAGACTTGAATAAAAAGAAACAAAAAGATTTATTTTCTGATGTAATTTCAGAGAGAAAAGAGAAGAAAGATCAATCTAGGACCAAAGAGAAGAAGAGAGAAAGAAAGGGTGCAGTTCATCCTGTCTAGCCGCCCCACTAATTCTTATTTATACTTGTAACTTAAACAATAGACAGAATTCCTCTAATACCCCTACTAACTTCATAAGAAACAAAATAAATAAAAAAATAATGGCCTAACTACCATAACTGCCATGAAATAACATAAGGAAATAAACAAAAATAAAGTGTGGGACCACACACTAACTATCTCTACATACACTATTAAGCACAAAGATTATGATTCAATTGAGAGGTATAAAGCTTGTCTTGTGGCCAAGGGATATACTCAAACCTATCGCATTGATTATCTAGAGCAACATGGGCAGCCCAAGGCCTTCAGGTGTAGGGAGAAGTATTTAGAATGATAGAGGTACTGTAATGGCAATGTACCTAGGTCCAAAGGGGAACAGGACTCATTAAGGTATGGGGTCTATATTCCAAAAGGCAATTGAATTAAAGATTAACAAGTTAATTAGAGAGGGTGATTTGAAGTTGGTAGTGGATGGTTGCTAAAGAAAGAGAAGGCTTTATCAGTTTAGGAATGAAATTAAAAAAACCAAATGGTTAACCAAAGGCTTACAAGTGCAGATACAACATGTGCAAAGATTAGCCAATAGTATGCAATTATCGAAAAAAAAAAAAAGATTAGCCAATAGTATGGCTGATGCATTGGCCAAACAAGGGGTCAATAGGGGTAAGTTTTTTGGGGCTTTGTTGTCGTCAAGGAACCATTTAACCTAAAATCTTAAGCTGCTAGGCGAGATCCCGGAATAGGTTTTTATTATCTAACATGCCCTATTGGGCTTAAAGAGTAAACAAGCACAAGCCCACCCATACCTTGTGCTGAAATTTAATCAATTATAATGGGGGTGACAAGGATTGAACACTAGACCACTTAGCCAAACAGGCTCTAATACCATATCAAGGAACCATTCAACCTAGGCTTAAGCTTTTAAGTTGAACGGTTCCTTGACATGGTATCAAAGCCTGTTTAACCAAGTGGTGTAGTGTTCAATCCCCATTGTCCCCATTAAAGCCTGTTTAATTAAATTTCAGGAGTTGCCTGTGCTTGTCCACACTTCAAGCTCAATGGGTTTTCATGTGAGGGGGCATGTTAGAGAATAAAATCCTATTCAGGGATATCACTTAACAGCTTAACCTTTTAGGTTAAATGATTCTTTGACAGTTGTAATACATATAAATGGGGGAGAGACTGCTGACATGCTCTCCACTGTTGTAAATTTCCTGTACACTTTGTTTATAAGAAATGAATGAGTTCATGGTTATTTATCAGAAAAAAAGTTCTACCTCATAATTAGAAATAAGAACCTCCAAAATCCACTCAGGCCACTCTTCCATATTAGTAAGGCAGCTTCTATTCTCCGGATGACTACAAGCCAAAAACAAAATATCCTGAAATCATAATGAAAGAAACAGTTCAGAAACAAAGCTTATTAGAAATCTGGCAAGGTTCTTTGACAAGTGAAAAGGAAAGAAAGGGTTGGAAGAGTATTAATAGAAAAACACGCATCTATATACATGGAAAACCCCTGAAACTTTTAAATGGCCATCACTTCTATATTCTGGCTATTCACTATAAAGACCCTCACCATGCCATCATTGTCAATGTGGTGTTTTTCTTAGAAGAGATTATGGTCAATCAGAATTGTTGAGAGATATATTGTATTTGGGTTTCCTTTCAAGGAGAGTGTTAGAGGTTACAAGGATGTATGTATTTATGGAAGAGGGGTCTGTGTGTAATTCATAGTTTTCAAGGCACCAAGGCGAGGCTGGGCATTAGGGGGGGGGCGCCTTGTCACCTAGGCGCCTAGGCGATGGACTTTTTTATATAGAAAATATAGATCCTAGGGTAGTTTCCTAGGTACCATAGCCATATTTCCTTAATAATTATTCATAATTTTCATAAGAAAAGTATAGAGTTCATGTTAAAGTATAGAAAATGTGTTGATTAGACAAAATTTTAAGTTCTTCCTTACTTAATGGTTCAGGTTTTAAAGTCTCCGAGGGTTCAATACAGCATTTAGCAATGTCTATATTGATTAAATCCTAACAAATAAGAAAATAATAAAAACAAATTAGTATATAAACACATAAAATGAATATTTTAGTTTAATAGTGCCTATTTTATAATTATAATGTCAAAAATAAAGAATAAAAAAGTATTTTACAATACATAGTACGAAACTGCTTGAGGAAACATGTTGAAAGATATATTGTATTTGATTGTATTTAGGTTTTCTTTCAAGGAGAGTGTTGGAGGTTACAGGGATATATTTGTAATGTCAATAAATTTTGGGGGCTTGTATATCTTTAACTCTTTATGGGAGGAAGAAGGGTCTATATGTAATTATTTGGTATTTTGCTTATTTAAGCCATTAGTTGCGTGGGATTAGGGTCGAGTGAAAGTGGACATTTTGTATCTCTTATTCTCATAGTAGATGTTTTCCCTCTCCCTCTCTTCCTGTGGATGTAGGCTACCAAGCTGAACTACGTTAAATCTTGGTGCTTTCCCTCCTTTCTATTTTCTTCTTGGTTTACTATTCTTCTTTCCTGCTAGTTGACAAGAATAAAGCAGAAGAGCATTCAATCAAGTTCATATGCAGAAGAAGAGTTCAAACTTTCCCAAGTTGTTTAATGGTCTCATGTAATAAATTTATGTTTAGAAAGTCAATAATACAAATGCCATCCTTTTTCTATTCTTTTTTACATCAATCCTACATGGCACCAAGGCACAAACCCTAAAGAGAAATATTCCAAGAGAATAAATTATAGGAGTACCATAGAGATGTTGTCTACTATCATGGAAAATACACTAGAAGTTAAAGTGGATTATTATATAACAAATCTACGACTAGCACTTTAGTTATCTGAATTACCAATCTATGTGTATTTGCATTTATCATCTCTTAGAAAATCATTAAAAAATGACAATACACATAGAAATTCATCCTGGACTACAATCAGAATCAAAAACATGTACAATAAATGTACTTTGAAGGGTCTAAAAATTCCATATAGTCATGCTATGCAAGTAATAGAAGCGCCATATACAATCACAATATTTCATAAACAAAATTTCTGCAGATTATACAAGCCAGGAAAGGAATACCCGTATGGCACGAATTTGAAATGCCCCAGATCCATATGGAAGTGAATGGAGAAGAACCAGCAAAAGCTGGAGATGTTCAAAGTGATGGCCAGAAGCATAAAGGTTTAGCCCATCATCAGTTGAAGAAGCATTTATCTGAAAAAATGTATATACATGTGATTTGAGATACCATCTTCAACAAAAAAAGATCTATAGTAGTAATCAAGAGAAATAAATGATATAATCCAAGACAGTCTTCAAAAAAACAAGACACAGTTTTCGTCAATTAAGTGTTAACAAGTCATGCATTATGTGTCAAACAGTGATTTCAACCTGCAGTCAAACCAGTTATTCGGAACTGCCGACCCATCACCCAACCAGAATCCCAGGTCTGTTTCACTACCAAATCACTTGACTGCAAAAAAAAATGTAGACTTGGTCAATAACCAGGCAATCTGGCCAGTTGAACCACTAATCTGTTTGACCTGGTCAGCGGGTCACTGTTCAAATATTCTTTTTTTGATAGATAGGGTCACAGTTCAAATATTAGTTTTCGTTTTTTTAAGCCATTTCTATCATTAATAAAAATCATTCTTATTTATTACACTTGTTTTTGCTTGATAATATGAACATATAATACTAGAGATCCATTTTTTGTACAAATTTTCTGTTTTTCTGTATTTTTTGTATTTTCTCTATTTTTATATATTTATTATTTAATTATGACATTATGGATTGACCAATTTGACCTGGACAGTTGAATTGCTGACCTGCCACCTGGACAAAAAAGAGGTTCCATTTTTGGGTCAGTTTTAAAATCATCATCATCATCTAAGCCTTATTCTATACAGGGTTGGCTACATAAATCCCGTTTTTCCATTTTGTTCTGTTTAAAGCTGAAAATTCAAGCCCTAGTTTGGAGAAAAGAGAAGAGAAAGTTCTGCCGCCCATTATTACATGCATGGACAAGTATGCCCCTACTTAGGTGGCAGCAAGATACATAAGTTCCACAACATATCTTCAAAGGTCCAATGATACATATCCCCAATTCACCCAAGGACATAGTTGTCAAGCCGCATTTGCCTACAATAGGTCCAAAACCAGGAGCACCGGATACAGCCCATTTGAGGTAGTATATGGGGCCAATCCCCATAGCATCCTTGATCTTACTACTAGTACTTGGCCAGGCCAAATTCATGACAAGGCTGATGATATGGTGCAGAAGCTTAAGAACCTCCAAAAAGAAGTTCACAACAAGTTGGAGGTAGCCAATGCTAGGTGCAAACAGCATTTTGATGGAAAGAGAAGGAGAGTAGTATTTGATGCGGGAGACTATGTTTCGGCCATTTTAACAAAGAACCGTCTACTGGTTGGGCAACGTGGAAAGCTGGCACCAAGGAAGGTTGGACCGAGTGAGATAGTTAAAGTTACCAATGAGAATGCCTACAAACTAAAACTGCCCAGCCATATACGTACCCATGATCTCTTCAATGACAAACACTTGGTTTCATATGTTGGTAATCATTCAAATGATGATTTGAATCCAATGACGGATTCTCTCCAACCTGGGGAGGATGATGCGGTACAAGAGAAGCCCAATAAGTTCTATGCAAGTTGGGACCACTCCAAGACACATAAGAAGCTAGAATGACGGTATTGATCCAACTGAGTAATTAATTACCAAGTTAGCACCAGCACAGAATTTTTATCTTAGTTTGAATTTACCAAGTTAGCGTCAACGTGGATTTTCTATCTTAGTCTGTAATTACCAAGTTAGCATTAGGTCGTGATTTCCGAATTTTTGTTAAGGCTTTCTTTTTGAGGAGTTTTAGTAGGTTTCTATTAAGGAGTGTTATCATAGATTAGGAAACCTTCTTGTAGGAGCCATAAGGGTGTAAGTCTATTAAGGAGTGTTATTTTAGCTTTAGTTCTTTTCTTTGAAGCTTCTCCGAACGTGGTTTGTTTCCGTACTACGCCACTAACTCGTCTCCTTTTGCACTCCAAACATGGTTTGTTTCCATACTGCACCAATAAAAGGAAATTTCATTAAACTGAAAAACAAGATTACAACATAGCCCAAAATATATGATTCCTTCCTACCCCGTGTTTAGCCAGTGCATCATCAAAGCAATTAGCATCTCTTTTTACCCAAGTCAGATTAACTTCCATTCCTTGTGTCAACCACTTCAACTTTCTTTTTTCATGAGCATAGTCCTACCATCCCATCTCCTCCTCCTTTTGAAGCTAGCTTATAACGAACTTTGAATCCCCTTCAATTATCAATTTAGAGGTGTTCAATTCCTTGGCTTTTTGAATTTCTTCCATAACAGCTAAAATTTTAGCCCTCAAAGAATCTCTCACACCTATAGGACCTGAAAATAGAGTAATGATTCTGCCTTCATCATTTTTGAAAACTCCTCCTTTGCAAGCTCAAAGAGGGGTATCTTCATTTATCAAAGGAAATACATCCTAGATCTTCTTCAGGGTACAAATAAACCAGGAGTAAAACCAATTGATTCTCCTATTGATCTTAATCACAAGTTGGGTAGGTTTACTCTTCCAAAAGCATGGACATCTAAAGGTAGAAATGTATATAGATGTTGGTTGAATTGGGTCTATAGATGATAGGAAATCTACCAATGGATATTGCACTTTTGTGGGTGGAAACCTTGTCACATGGACAAGTAAGAAGCAAAATGGGGTTGCAAGATCTAGCGCAGAAGCAGAATACAAAGCTGTCCCATGGTGTTGCTGAAATTTTATGGATAAAAAATCTGTTAAATGAGTTGTGATTTTTTGTTGACAGTCCTATGTCATTGTATTGTGATAACAAGGCAGCCATCAATATTGCTAACAATCCTGTTCTACATGATAGGACCAAGAACATTGAAGTGGATAAACATTTCATCAGGGAAAAGATTGTGTGACAAGTTGGGCATGATTGATATCTATGTCCCAACTTGAGGGGGAGTGTTAACAGTAGTTATAGTATGCCACAGGTAGGGGTGCAACTTGGGCGGGCCTAACCCAAGCCTGGACTGACCCAACCTGAAATTTTACATGAGATGGGCTTGGATTTTTTGTCCTTAGGCTGGGCTCATGTCTAAGAAGTTAAGCTTTTTATTTTTTGGGCCGGGCCCGAGCCTAGCCCTCAGGTAGCCTGAGCCCGTCCCAACTATACACATTCATACATATATATGTATATATGTAAATTTTGCATATATATTTACATAAATATTTGTAATGTATATACATTTTTTATTAGCTTTGTATGTATATACATTTGTATACATATTTACCTATATACGTACATATTTGCATACATGTTTACATATATACATACATATATGTATACACATTTACATAAATGCATATATACATATATAATTTTAGAGCGGGTTCATTGGCCAACCTGAGCCCGACCCAGGCCCGAGCCCAACCCGAGTGCATCAAATTACATTGCGGGATAGGTTCAGGTTAGGAAGATCGTTCTTGACCTCAGGCTCGGACCTTAAGCCCAATTTTTAGGGTCGGGCTTGGGTTGACCAATAAACCTGGCCCAACCCGCCTCCCCTAGCCATAAGGGCATTTTTGCTTGTACTTACTTTTTTATGCCGCCCTAATATAAATAGAAGTGTTGGCACTACCAGCCTATCTTTTTTACTCCAAACCTCTCTCTTCTCTCTTCTCTCTTCTCACTTCTCTCTTCTCTCTTCTCTCTACTGTTCTCTAATCTTTTTCTACAAAGAAAACAGGTTACACATTGAAATACATAAATTTTAAAAAATCAAAAATCAAAAAAAGGAGAAAAAAGAGAGATGCCACATCAGACTATTCCCAACTATATGGGGTCGGCTACATGAATCTTGATTTTGCCATTCCATTCTGTTGAGCGCCATAACCACATAAAACATTTATCAGTTATTGATTAAAACAATTAAGACATATTTCCACAACCAAAGATTAGAAATGCCTATCCAAAATAATACCAACAAACAAAACTTATGACAACATTATTAAGGATTCAAGTTTCCAGAAAGTATATCTCCATAATGCATAATCCAAGTAGTTTGAAAGATAGGGTGATTAGGCTGCATGAGAAGTGGAAGCATGGTAGGAATTTTACATAAACATATGTTTTTTATCAGCATTTTAAATAAATATACGTTTCAAATGGAATTTGTATTATTATAACAATATTAATGATGATTATTAAGATAAACCAAAAAATAAGCAACAATGTAGTCATACCGATGCACCCAATAAAGCTAAGTAGGCATTGTTAGTCATAAGCCTCTTTGGTGCCGCTTGGAAAGCCTTTTGTAAAGCAAAAAGTAGAAGAGAAACTTTATCATCAAACATAGTACCTCCTCCATCATGTAGTCCATTACCCAGAAAGCTACTTGTCATATTTGTTGGAGCATGTGAAACAAATTTTAGATGCCCTGATGCCACTAATACACCCAAAAGACTGATAATCCCAACAACTACTCCATCACCATTATCAACATTATAGACATTATTCCTCGCACTCTCAGCACTTATTGAAAAGCTTATACCACCCAAATTCTTCATGAGTTGACGCTCAGACATAGATGGCATTCTTGCAATGTTTGTGCCCATGGAAACTGCAGTGTTGCTGCCTTCACTGTCATAGGACTGTGACTCTGAACTCTTTTCATCAGAAGCCTTCTCCTTTTCCCCAATAGGTTCTAGATTACCATCCTGACTTTTCTCCTCAACTCTATCAGCACGTAGTTCAGATCCCTGACTCGAGATGCTTTTATCATCTTCCTTGTTAGAATCTTCTGATCGACAGTCACCAGATTTTGCTTCTCGTTGCAGCAGAACTAGAAGTGTTTCTATCCCTCCACAAGAAATAAAAGATTCTGCAAATGTGTGCGCTCTGGATGTATTTGGCTGTACCACCAACCTGTAGATTAGATGCAACACACGTGCAACCTGGAAAACCACATTTCTTAGGAACCAATTCCAAAGAAAATTGCCATCCCAAAGCTACTAGAGAATTTCTTTCCAAAAGAATCGTGGGCATCATAATTCATGCCAAGGAATTCTGGATATGCATGACAAGAACATGGTTTCGTTTCAGATCATGAGATTATATGTGCAGGTGATCTCAAGAAAAATGCGTCAAGTAAAAATCTTTATCCTGTAAGCATAGAGTTTGAATAGTATTTCCAGATATGATGGAACTTAAAAATATGAAATTTCAATAGTTCCAATTATAAGATATTGAATTGTTTCATAAACTAAAATCTACGTATTGCAAGTTATCCAAACCTGCCCAGAGCAAGCCCCCATAGAGGCAAGTTAAGGCCATGTTTGGCTCAATTCCCATTCTTTCTCATTCTTACCCAAGATGAACTTCTAAAATGGACAAGAATGGGTAAAATTAGGCAGAATGAGAAAATATTGCTATGAACCAAACACTTTTTTCCTATGAATGAACTCTTTTCAGACTGACAAGTGTCCTATATTGCTCATTTTCATTCTTCAAAAAAAAAAGTGTGCCAGTATTCATAAACCCCCAACCTAGGTCTCCAAAACTGTTGGCATAGATGTTTACCAGTGGATGGTTGATCATCAATGTTTACCAGTTGGTAGATGTTTTGTGAAAGTACTTTCGTAAAAGTGCTTTTATAAAAGTACTTTGGTAAAAGTGCTTTCATAAAAGTGCTTTTTATAAAAGTACTTCCATATAAGTGCTTTAGTAAAATTACTTTTATAAAAGTGCTTTCATAAAAGTGTTTTTATTAAAGTGCTTTTATAAAAGTACTTCTATAAAAGTGCTTTCATAAAAGTGCTATAATGTAAAAGTACTTTTATAAAAGTGCTTTATGGAAAAGTACTTTTATAAAAGTGCTTTCATAAAAGTATTTTTGTAAAAGTGCTTTCATAAAATTACTTTTCATAAATTTACTTTTATAAAAGTGCTTTTGTAAAAGTGCTTTCGTGTAAAAGTACTTTTATAAAAGTGGTTTCATGTAAAAGTACTTTTATAAAAGTGCTTTCGTAAAAATAGTTTTGCAAAAGTGCTTTCGCAAAAGTAAACATCTATTGTAGCAGTTTTGTAGGTAGAGTTTTCTCAAAGAATGAAAATGAGCAAGGTGGGGCATGATTATTTTTCATGCTGCAGGCTACTCAATTTTGTGCTATGGGGCTGATTTTTCATTCTAAAAAGAATGTGGCCCATGGAAAGAATTTTGTAACCAAAACTCTAATGTTATTCATTCTTGCCTAGAATGAGCAAGAATTAAAAGAATGAGGCCCAGAGCAATGAACCAAACATGGCCTAAGTTGCTAAGCCATATAATCTGCAACTATCTCCTAAGGCACAGAGAGGACTAAGCTGTTAGTAACCTCTTCGTTTCAGCATGGACCCTTTCACTCTATTTTATTATATACGCTTAGCGAAAAGAATGTTTTTTGATACACCCAAAGCATGGGTTCTAATGTTCTAACTGAACCAATAGATTGTGACAAGTCAATTAATACTAGCAATGACTTCCTGTTTCATTACTTCATACTTTTTATATCCCTAGGAAGAGCAAACATAACAACTGACGTGACTAGATAGGAAATAAGAGCAGATTAAAGAACATTAAGAAGATTAAACAAAATATCTACCAACTCTTTCGATCCTATGGAAAAGAAATCTTTACAAGAAAATTAAAGACATCATACCTGATTAGGTTGTGGGCAATCAACCATGAACCCAATCAAACAATGAACATCATCAACAGCAAGTGACGGAGGTGCAGCTCCTACTAGGAGTTCGATAACCACCAAAAGCTCATCCACCAATGCATTAACTTCTCCAATGGGACGTGGTCCCTCATGCAGTGAAAATGTATTAACAGAGTCCTTTTCACGAATGACCCAATAGCACCTCCTGCAGCTATCAAGAAGCATCTGCATGGCATTTGCATCTCGCATTGCTGATGATTCAGTGAACACCATGTCTGCAATTGAAGATAAAAGCTTCTTCTGAATCCCATAATTGCATAGGCTCCAGATTTTCAGGTCCAACAACAATGTACTAAAAAGCTGCACTTTGAGTGCGTAATTTCTTTTCTGTGATTGACATAGAGAAACAATTGCTGCAACAAGTTCCTCATCTCCAACTCCATTTTGTTTTCCAAGATCAATTAAAGACAGAGTTTGCAGCAAATAATTTAAGATTCTTGACAAAAGCTCAGGACCACTTGTGCGGCACAACTCTTCATTATTTCCTGGGTGTTGAATAGCCATGGTAATAATTCTAAAAATTGAAGCAGAAAGATAAGCTGTGGCTGAAGACAGTGGAAAGTTCCCATATTTTGGTTCCAAGCTATCCTTTTCAACATTGCTTACTGTCAAGGGAAGCAAAGACATGGGTCCTCCATAGGCTAAGGCCCACATGGACTCTACAGGACGCATTCGTGTAGCAACATAAACTTGCCCAAGAACCTCAGCAGGTCTTCGATGTGTTCCTGTCGTATTATAAGAGATCATTTCTTTTTCCATTTGACAGATAACAAATATTATTAGTTAAACTACAAGTCTATAATAAGGATGAATAAAGGAGAAACGTTTTATAATCAAATGTCCATCAAATTCATTAAATACATAACAAAATATGTATCCATCAAATTCATCTAATTAAATCTCCTAAGCTGATTTAATTAGAAGTTGGAGTTCTATAGCTGTGTCCTCTCCCTCTTCCCTTGTAGTTCAAGAGAGTTGGTCACACCACCTCAGTCCAGGATGAAATTAAATTTTGATGGAAGCTCCTTAGGTAATCCAGGTCCTTTGGCAGTTGGGGGTGTTTTCAGAAATGAGGAAGAGTTTTGGCCCTTTACTCGGGCCCGATTTGGGTGGGAGATTCCTTAAGGGCAGAAGCCATGGCCTTACTCCAAGGCCTGAGATTGGCAAAACAATGGGAAATGCAGCACTTAGAAGTAGAGGTGTCAATTGGACTGGATTTGGTCCAACCCGATCCAGTCCAATGTGAGTCCACTTACAAATGGACTGGACCCAATCAGTCCAAATCCAATACAAACCAAATCCAATTTAATGGATTGGATTGGATCCAATCCAAACTGAATGAAATATCAAAAATTATATAAAAGCACTTTTGGCATTGAAAAAGCACTTCTGTAAAAGTACTTCGATAAAAGTATTTTCATAAAAGTGCTTTTACAAAAGCACTTTATTGAAAGTACTTCGTAAAAGTGTTTTTGCAAAAGCACTTTTAGAAAAGTACTTTCATAGACTTTTATAAAAGTACTTTTGTAGAAGTGCTTTTGTAAAAGTACTTTTAGAAAAGTACTTTCATAAAAGTATTTCCATAAAAGTGCTTTTGTAAAAATTCTTTCGTAAAAGTAATTTTATAAAAGTACTTTCATAAAAGTGTTTTTATAAAAGTGCTTTCATAAAAGTACTTTTGTAAAAGTGCTTTCGTAAAATCTTTCATAAAAGTGCTGTTATAAATGTACTTTCTTAAAAGTGCTCTTATAAAAGTGCTTCCATAAAAGTGCTTTCATAAAAGTGTTGTTATAAAAGTACTTCTATAAAAGTGCTTTTATAAAAGTACTTCTATAAAAGTGCTTTTGTAAAAGTACTTCCGTAAAAGTTTTTTTGTAAGTGATTTTATAAGTGCTTTCATGTAAAAGTACTTTTATGAAAGTGCTTTCATAAAAGTACTTTTGTAAAAGTGCTTTCGTAAAAGTACTTTTGTAAAAGTGCTTTTATAAAACCACTTCTGTAAAAATGCTTTCATATAAGTACTTTTGTAAAAATGCTTTCGTAAAAGTATTTTTATAAAAGTGCTTTCGTAAAAATACTTTTCATAAAATTACTTTTATGAAAGTTCTTTTGTAAAAGTGTTTTCGTAAAAGCGCTTTCATAAAAATACTTTCATAAAAGTGATTTTATGCTGGCTTCAGTTTTGGTTGATTTCAAATTGGACAAGGGTTTGGCCTCATGATTGGATTATTGGAAATTTGGTTTAGGTCCATTTCAAACCAATAAAAATATGGACCAATTTAATCTGGATTGACCCAATCCAATAATTATGATGGACCATTCCGATTTGATAAGGTTTGGATTGGATTGGATCCAAACCAAAACCAGTTGATCGACACCCCTACTTAGAAGTGGAAAGAGACTCCAAGCTGGTAATAGGGTGGATGCAATCTAGAAACCCGGGAGTGGCCACTTAGACAGCCTCTGAGAGAGATTGTAAACTTAGCAAGGGAGCTTGGGGTGCAATTTAAATGGGTAAGAAGGTCAGCAAATGGAAAGGCTTGCACTTTAGCTAAGCAAGGAGTTAATAGGGAGGCTTTGTTTTGGGCTTGTTTGTAAGGCTTTTTTGTTTTGGGTTTCTCCAACCATCCTGTAGGTGGTGATATTTGTACTCTTTATTTAAATTCATCAATGAAATTTACCGTTTCCTATAAAAAAAGATTTGATTTTATGAATATACTAAATATAATGAAGTTTAAATACTATGAATTTCATAAAATGAGTTTCAGACTTATTCAGCCAAAAACCACTCATAACCATGAGGCATGCATATTTCAAATCAGTGGGATCAACTACCATGCAGATTTGTCTTTATAAACATACTAAAAGCTATGGTGTTTAAATATATAAAAAGATAGTAACTTGCTACAAACCAATTAGGATAATTTTTTGCTTTCCTTTTTGGGCCTGGTTTCAACTAGTCCTTTCACAGAAAGGTTTATTGAATCTAACAAAACAAAATAATCACCATGGTTCAAGGACAAGATAAAATTTAATATTCCTATGAATGGAAGAAATCAACAACCATATCTGAGATAGGTCAAACATACCAAGAACAGAACAAGTTCTCAACAAGAATAGTCCTAGCCAATGGAACTAATAGTATTTTCATAACATTCTATCCACCCAATCCAGGACCAAAGGTAGACTTTCAGTAAGGAGTAGTTTGATAACAGCTGAAGTGACTGAACCGAATGAGTTATCATCTTATCTTTTAGTGAATAAGTTGCTAAGGAGGCTATGAGCTCCTTAACCACTAAATGCATTTCCAGATTTAGAAATACCTTAGGCTTCCATTGGGGGCAAGATGTATTTCCAGATCTATTTAGGACCCTGTTGTGGAGAGGTTTGATAAGAGGCTGGCTACTTGAATATCCAAGTATTTATCAAACAAAGGGTGGTAAGCTCACTCATATTAAGACTGTTCTGTCATCTTTGCCAACGTACTCTGTCACTGCTCCGTATTTCTTCTAAGGTGGATGGGTTACATGAGAAGCATATTAGGGTTTCTTGTGAAAAGGGTGGAAGGATGAGTCTAAAAAAAAATCTTGTCTATTAAAATAAGTGGAAAGAACATAATATAACACAACAGGGCCCCAAACATAACACAAGAAGGCATCATTTGTGTGTGGGATCTGCACAACCCTCATCATATTTTGGTCTGCAATCCAAACAGCAGTGTTACATGGACATGGACATGTTAAGCAGACTTGGACACGTTTCCAGAGTTTGACTCAGCAAGACCAAGTTACCTATTGAAATGTCTACAAAAAATATAATCCATTAAAATAGCCCATATTTCTTCTATACATACTGTTTAAAGAGTATAGAAGAAATCTCTCTCCCATTACATTAAAATTGTGCCCAAAACATTTAATTATATTTCTTCTGAATGTTTAAACGGTCCATATATCTAATGCTTTATAGAAAAAATGGTATTCATTGTACAAATTAGTTATTCATTTATGTCAAATAAGCAAGGAGAGAAAGAAAATGTTGCATAGAACTGTTCCTCAAGAATAATGGAGTGCCAGAATCTGATACATGTCAGAATCCTAGATAAACAGCGTAAATCTAATCCCATCTCAGTTTAGGACAATATCTTTCTTGTCAGGGAATGGATGTTGTTCATTCCCAACAATGTATGTTCTTTCAGGGATGTCAATTTGCATGATATATAATTTTCTTAAGGTAACTTATATATGAAAGGGAAAGGGAAAATCTTAACAATAAAATACCACCATACTTTATATTTTTCAAGTTGTACCATAGATCTATCAAAGAGCAAACACCTTAGTGCTTGCTCAACAAGCAAATTGTAGAGGCATTTCAAATTAGATGAGTCAATCAAAGTTCCCATATTTTCCGGTAAGAAGGATAAAAGGCTTATAACAGTAACTTGTGAAAAGAAATTAGTGAACCAAAGCTAACAGGGGAGCAAGGCACCTAAAATTTGTAATTAACATTCTTTGCAAGCAATAAAATTCTGTTCTTACCATTCAAAAAAAATTAGTTACTTGCAAAAGAAATTAGTGACATATAATTGATTTTCAAAAATGCAAGTGAACATCATTCAATAATCAACCTGCAGCACCAGAGGGAGAAGCATCTGGACAGAAACGCCCACTGAGCAAACTGGGGTGATAAAGAAGGTGCAAGCTTCCTCCAATTTCTGCATCCAAAACTGAGCTTTCTTCTGCCAAACTTCGTAACTGGTTATTTGTTGCCATCCATGGTAACCCTGCCCCATTGCCAAAAGAGGGCAGCGCATCACCTCCCCTAGAAGCTAAACGGCCCATCCTCTCTGGGCCAATAGGCTCCTTAAATATATATATAGGACCCATCTCAGCAAAAAGTGGACATTGACGGCGCCGCCTTTGCAAGCCAGCCATGGTTGGAGGAGGATTTGTCCCAATGCAGCAAAACGCAAGAGGCTTGGATATCCGGGGAAACTCGAATGGACGACTTTCATACAAGGAACCATCAATATACAGCCTTAACTCACTCTCTGCCTTCCCAATTAGCCCCTGCCTGCAAGTATGCTCTAGCCCAATAAAATACCAGCACTGTGGCTTGAATGCATGAGTAAAATGCAGGGAAGCTTTCTTTCCCTTGCCACTACCAGTTTCAACAACCAAAAACTGAGCATGAAAATATGCTTCCACCCCCTGATTATCAGCAGATAAGAAACTAAACAACCTTGGCATGTGTGCCGTACCTTCACCAGCAAGTGCACTTGCAGCAGCTGCAGCTGACATGGCGGAGGATTTTCCAGATTTTGCTGCAGCAGCTGCAGCAATTGCTGCAGCAGCCGTTGCAGTATTTAGAGTGTCTGCAAATGACTCTATGTAGATCCATGTTGCAAACGCATAACCATTGGTGAATGGCCAACGGCTCTCTCCTGGACCAAGTAAACCAGAGCTTTCACCATCAAACTCAAATGTACATGCTGGACCTCCTGTTTCCTTCCCACCCACAGCTTTTTCCAATGCAAGAATCAAATGGATTGCCCAGCCTGTGGATAGTGTCTTTATGATTACCTGAAGCCACCTACGCAGATCAATTACACTAAGGGAATGTGCTGCTAGGTAATAGATGCAGCGGCACAGAGGTGTACCATCCCAGTGAAACTGCCCCGTTGAGCCAACATCCTGAAGAAATATGTTCTCTGCTGATCCCAGAAGAACTCCTAACAGACTAGCTGTGGAGCACATAGATCTGTTTCTCGTGCAAGCTCTCAATATTGCCAGCAGTCCTTTAACCATACGTGTTCTTGGAGACATTAGACCGTCCCCGTCACCTTCCCAGGGAAGCCAAGGAATCAGCTCACCTGCTACAATGGCAGCCCTTGAGTTCAGCATCACACTAGGAGGATTGCTATCTTCACCCTCTTCAAAAGATTCAACACCGCCCATCGTTGCAAGAAGTGAATCCACTACCAATACAGCTATGCTCTCAACTTCCTCTCCCCTCCCAAAACTCTCCTTGCCACATACAACACCCTTAAGTTTCTCCATGGCTTCAGGTTTCCCCATAATAGCTGAATCCACTAAATGCAACAGTTCTGGTGACACATTGGGCATAACAGGTTTTGGCCTAAGTTTTGTAGGGGAGTCAACAGGTGAATAGTATACAGGTGAAGTGTATCCAGCCTCTCCATAGAAACCCGAGGAGTCAAAACTAGCTGAAGAAAGAGACTTTTTGATAGCCAACTCAGATTGTCTCTCGGACATGGGACTCGAACTATGCTGGTCTTGCATCTCACCACTAATAGCAACGTCTAACTGTGCAACAGGTTTCCCAGTAGAAGACTCTAAGGCCTCCTCGTTGCAAGATAATCTGTTCATGCTATCCAAGTTAGAAGACAAAATTGTATCCACATTGCCCTGACAGTCCGACATATTCCTCTCTTTATCTTTCAAGGACGCATGCTCAAACCGGTCTTCTTCATCACGTTGTTCGCCTCCGTCTCCAGAAGTTATCCCTGAATTCACAGAAATCAATCCTTGCAAGCCCCGATTAATTTCCGGTTCATCCCTATCACTGTGCATGTCGTAATATGCTCTTCCATTTTCCCCTCCGCCAGTTTCATGGACCTCCATGCCCATCTCAGAGTCTTTCCCAGAAACTTCTCCTGATTCCTGTCTATCTTCCTCCATCCTATTGTTCTTGACCTCGTAATCTTTCTTTTTTTGGTAAAGAAGAAATTCTTGACCTGGTAATACTCATTCGGATTATTCTCAGCAACTGAAGGAACAAAACGACAAATATACACTTTTAAACTATACAAGGTTGGCCTGAAATGGTACAATAATTCTGAAAAATAAGCAAAGGTATAACCAGAGCTATGACTAATGCAAACCTCCACTCCTCAACTAAAATTCGAACAGCTGCTAATTTGAAAAAAGCTAATCTCCTCTACCGACTACCGGAAATGACAATTTGGCAAATGAGGTAAACAGAGAAACAATATTCATATGCAAATTAATCCAAAAGAGACGGAAACAACTGGAGCAAATCAATGGAGATCGACATTCATGTGGGTTGTCATCAAATGCCAGAAAATCAGAGGTAAAAAAGAACTATCAAGCTGATTCAGTTTTGACTCAAAAACAGTGAAAGGCATAAGAAATTTGCATCATAAAACAGGGTCTATCTTCATAGAATCACACAAAGAAGAATCTACTCACTAATCCCCTTGAAGACCAAACAAATGCAGTAGACCAATAAACAAACTTCAAAGAAACAACGAAAACAAGAAATGAGATGAAACCAAATGGTGGGCATTGATTTGAACCTAGTTGAAGACCCAGACAAAGGGGAAAAAATCAACTTCAATATAAGACTCCGAATTCCATAAAAATGAGGAAGCGCACACGAAATAACAAATCCAATGAAGAAGACAGAGATTAGATAAATAATACCTTAAAAAAGGATCCTGAAATTCGACTCTGGTTTCCTTTATTATTATTTTTAAGTAAATGTCTTGCAGGATAACATTGAAGAAGATGTTTTGTCTGAAGTTTTTGGAAAAAAAATTGTTAGTGAAAATATTGAAGGAATAGAAGAATCGATCAAATCGGTGGATGCGAGATTTTCCAGAGTAAGAAGAGCATCAGAAGGGTCGAAATAAGAGGCGAAATGAGCGCGAGAGGGAAGGCTCGCCTTCCTTCTATATCCGCACAAGTGCGAGTGTTTTGTTCTTAGAAGCCCTAAACAAATTCCAGGTCATAACTTGGCAACAGATGGCCAACGATGAGAGCATCAGTCAAAACAACAGGGAAAAATTTTATGCTTGTTCCAGCTTTTTTATCTTCTCTTCCAATCACGCGGTTGGGACCTGGGAGTCGGATTTTTGCGTATTCCCGATTGGCCGTTTCCAAAGAAAAGGAAAATCAAATGTGATTGGATTAAGCTTCATCGTGTCTCAAAACGCAACAATGCTCGAATCGTCTGTTTCTTCGTGAAAAAACGCTTATCTATTGGTTAATTGGTTTAGAACCTGGGAAACTGCGACAAGCATATCACGAAAAACCCAACAAAACTCATCCACCTGTCCCAATTTCGTATGTGAAGATTTGACATGAACGACCATAAGCAATATCGATGGGATAGACTTGTTGAACTTCGACTTAATAGTCCCAAAATACTCGGAAGAGAAAAATGGAGCCAATGACAGCTGATACACCATTGTAGAAACCAGAATTCCAGCTGGGTCAAAGCTTTTGGCAATTATATATGAAGATCCTTTTGGGCTTCCCGTTGATCTGGAATCGTGGTTTGATGGCCCCGAGAGGATGCAGACATAGCCCTTACGTTCTTGTTCAGTGTCTAGACATTTTGGTTTACTTTTATTCTAGGGTTTAATCATTTCTAAGGTCCTAGGGTTCATCGTTCGGAGAACTGAGGATGATAAGTGGGCGTTGAAGTGATTGAAGGGACTGTCAAAACCGGTGAAACAACCATGGTAACTGGATCTTGGAGATGGCAGACCAGAGAAGCAAAGAGTCTGGTAACCATGATTGTTCTTTCTCTTCTGTCATTTTAAAAATATATATCAAATTATATTAAACATTCAGATCAGAACTACAAAGAGTTTCTTGTGTTTGGTCACGGAACAACGAGGGTTGCTTGGCGGGGCGGTTGTGGTGGTTGCTTTCATGGCGTTGTACACGACCGTAAGTGAACATAGATAGGGGAGACGAAGACAGTGGGATTAATTAAAAATAAAAATAAAAAAAATAAAAAAAAGGCAAGAAAGAGTGGGACATCATATTCGAATCGGGTATAGGTAGATTCAAATTTGATTTTTATATCCAATTTAATTCGAAGGAGTACGGATACACCACATGCAGAATTCTGAATTCTAGCCCCTAAGTACACGACGGGATCTGCTCCTCACAAATGGGCGCCTCACATGCACATGTGGGAGATGTTTCGAATGTACGATAGGATATGTGTGTGAGGTGACTGTGAGGCGCCAAGTGTGAGGAGTTGATCTGGTCTCCCCTACTATTAGCCCTCTCCCCCCTTTAAACTACGTCGTGAATTTGACATCAATTCATGGTTATGATGCATTCCCCCGTACTATGGGGCTACAAAATTCTAATATGTGCTGATTGATCATTCTCCTAATTTAATTTGATATTTATCATATATACGGATTTATAAGTTTTACATAAGGAAGTCTAGAAATTTATTTTTTAAAAGTTACTTTAATGTAAAATTAACGAATCTCTATTCTTGGCCACGTCCGATGACTAGACCATGCTATGTCACGATTGTAGGAAAGTAGCAATATCACATCTCCGCCCCACAACACCCCATAGCACATCACCGCCATGTATTGGGAACATCTCCCGATGATAGTGCCAATTTTTATTATATCATCATCGGGAGATGTTCTCAATACACGACAAGGATGTACTATGGGGTGTTGTTGGGCGGCTCCATGTGGGGCAATGTGAACTCCCACTAGTCGTGTTCAACTTGGAAATGATTCTGGAATTCTTGCCCATGCAAATTTTATCCACATAACATCGCAACTACAAAGCTACATATGGAGAACATCTCATCCTCCTAAATAGTATTATCCTCTACACTTTGAGAACATCTCATCATCGAGACTCCTTGAAAATCGGGTTGCTTTGGAACTCTTATCTCATTATTCTAACGATAATAAACCAACAAGGCTGAAGGTTTCTCTCATTCGTTGGACGAAAACGATCATCAAATAATATTTAAATTTTATTTTTGGTACTTTATTTTTTATTTTCTAAATAATATTTAAAATATGATTTAGCTATTTATAATATTATATAGTCATTTAAATAATATTTTTATTTAAAATTTTAAAATAGTAATTATTTAGTAATTTAATAATTCATAAAATTATAAGTTATGCCATTATTACTTAATTTCTATATTAATTTTATGAAATATAAAATTATTATTAATTCAAATATTGTGAAATTTATTTATTATTTAAATTTTATTCAGCTTAAAGTTGTTATGTAGTATTAAATATTTTGTTATATAATTATTTAAGTTTTTTAATTTGATTAACATTTGTGAGCTCCAAGAAGCTCATGCCTAATTCAAAGAAATTCACTATCCATTTTTTAGAGGAAATGAACATTCATTTTCTCCATAGAAAATTTAACTTTATTGCCTCGACAGCGACCTCATCCTCCACAAGGAAGGCACTAAACCAAAAGACTTTGGATCCCAAGGATTAGGAGAGAGAAGGTGTTAGGCACCCCTCTCTCCAAACTATTGTAGCCACCCCATACGAGAATAGTTCATGCTCAAATTCTAACGAAATACCAATGAAAATGGTTGCTCAAAGCTCCCAAAATCAAGCGAAAACGCTCATAGGTTTACCTATAATTGATTTGAGGTAATGTTATCGGGTCTTAGGTACTAATTTCCCTAAGACTCTTGCATCTCTTCCTCTTTTTCTCAATCTGGATGAAACTGGGAATGCAATTTTCACATGACTTTAGAACTTCAAACAACCCAAAACTAAACTAGAAGTAGAGATTACGAATTCACACTTAGAACAACGATGGAATGAGAGACTTACCTCCCGTGTGCAACCTTGAGAAGAGTTTTCCAACAGCTAGAAAAGGTTCAAATGAAACTTGGACGAGTTGTTAAGTTGGGGTAAGTGTTTCATGTTTTAAATCTTCAATCTAGAAAACAAGGGAAGTAGATTTGAGGCTTGATCTTCAAGGACTTTGGGATTTCAAGTAAAATTGAGGCATTACAAAGGTTTGAGAAATGTTCATTTTCCTCCTCTTCCAAGCTCAAGTTGGACCACTATTTATAGAGGAAAAGGGAGGGAAATGGGTATGAAACTCATCCATCTACAGTGTCTGGGATTCATTAGAGCTCTTTCACCAAAATAGGCAAAGTTTTGAGAGGAAATGGAATGCAGTTGACCCTTCCTTCTTTGTGCAATACTTTTCCTTGAGTTTGGATAGTTTTCTAAGAACTTTGTGCATCGAATGAGAGCTTGGGGGCGTGCTAGATGTTGCAGTCCCGTATTTGGGCCTAACAATGGCAAAAAAACGTAAGTTTGAGTGATCTATACATGTGGCTTTGTCTTTTCTTAGTGTTAAGTGGGGGTTTCTTTGGTATTTTGGACTTTTCAAGCATATTATCTCAAATTCATTGGTCGAGGTGTTTTAATGGGGTCAAGTAAGAAGTTGACATCATTCCTCACCCTCTTGATGTCCTAGGTTGGGACAGGTGATGTGGCGATTTAATCTAGCGTATCGAAATGGTATCTTCCTAGTTTAACGGTCAAACAGATTAATTGATTCATGAAATTTGATGTCCCGGGGTTTTTTGGGTCTTTGAACATGATGATGAGGTCAGATTGATCAAATAAGTCTTGGATAATGGAGATTCATGACAGGTAAGCTCTTGATCAATAAGATTTGTCAAAACAAAATGAATGATTGACGATGAGTCAAATGGGGGAATTTTGGGATTAAATTTGGTGGGTAGGAATGGATTGGGATTATGAGGTTGATGGGAGAGTTAGATTGTGTCAGGTATGTACAGATCACATGTTTTAGGCTCAAGAAGTGTTATAGTGTCAAATGCATCAAAATTGAATCTTTGATGGATGATTAGCTAAATCAAGGAATTTAGGGCTGAAATTTTGTATGATTGATTATTTAAGGATTTTGTCTCATGTGATAGAGTTTGATCGGAAATAAAGTATGGTGAAGTGGCACAATCAAGACCATCAAAAGGGAAATCTAATAGTGGATAGGGTATTTGGAATGAAATTCAGTTGATTGGGCATTCGGGTTACAGGAAATGGGTTACATACAGGACCAAGCAAAATTGGGTACTGACAACATTTAAATAACTTTGTTATTTAACTTTTTAAAATATTATTTATTTATTAAATTGAATAATTCATAAAACCATAATTTGTATTGTTATTACATAATTTCATTATGCATTTCATAAAATAAAAAATATTAATAATATGAGCATTATTAAATCTATTATAATTACTTTTTGATTTAATAAATATTTTAAAGTTATTACATAACTCCATTATAAATAGGAATTAATGATAATTTAGGAGATGATAAAAAGGAATTATAGATAAATTAGGAGACAGTTTTTCTCCTAAATTAGAGATAATGTATGGCATAAATAGGAACTAGAGATAATTAGAGATCATTTAAGAGAAAGTGGGAGATAGTGGTGCCACGTGGTTAGTGGGGGATATCAGCAAATTGGAATAAGGATTAGCTTTACAAAGGACTCTTATATCTTTCCTAAAATATAGGTGTTCACTATATGAGTTTTATTAGTTTCCTAATAAAAATGAGAAGAAAAAGGGAGATAAGGCATTTTGAAGTGGAAACTCAATGGGCTTCTAAAGGAAATCTTGCACCCCTTAGCTTCTAGTATTGCTCGGTTGGGGTAATGGAGCAAGGAGAGGCCATCTTATTTGATGAGGTCCATATCTCATAAGTACTTGTATTTTTTGTCAAAATGACATTTATAGCCTTAATATAGCTATACATTGCATAAACAAAAAGATAAATAAAAAATAAATAAATGTTTATCCTATATAACTGAACTTATTTCCAGCTCACTAAAGCAGTCATGTAAGGAACAGAGGAAGGAAAGAGAGAAATGAAGGATAAAAGAAAGAAAGAAGAGAGAGAGGGGGGGGAGAAGAAAAACGAAAAGAAATAAAATAAATAAATAAAAGAAGGATAGAGAGGTTGTGGTGGTGGTTTGGGAAGGGCTCGGTTACAACGATGGAGAAAGTAAAAAGAAAGAGAAGAAGAAGAAGACACACATAGAGGGGATGCGGTGGTCATGGTTTTGTGGAAAGTGCTCGACTGCTCCTACTGGTTTGGATTTTCATTAGAGGATAAGGAAGTGAATAGTGATGTTCTTTTAAAGATTGGGGCAGTCCCTAAAAAATGAATATAACATTGGGAATAATATTGTCCCCCAAAAAAGGTATTTATTAAATACGCACTTAAAAAACACCCAATTCTTGCTTAATTTTTAAGTGTTTAGTTTCAAAGTAAGCACTTATTGCAGGCATCTTTGCCAAACACAAATTAAGCCAAATTTGGGAGTGCTTATTTGAAAAATAAGTGCTTAAAAACAACTGATTGTTCTAATAAGCACTTGTGAGTGTTTGGTGAAAAAGCACTTATTTTAAACAAGGGTAGTATAGGTGTAAACACCCCATTTTGGGCCTTTTAGGCTTTTTTAGCACTTCAAGCTTCAAGCAAGCTTTAGTTGACTTGGGGGCATTTTTGGAATTTTATAAAAGTTGGAGCCTCAAAGATCCAGGACCCTAGGTACATAGAACCCAAAAACCTGAATCTGATGACACCAAAATCACTCAAATCCAACGCCATTTACCCCTTCATCTTAACACCCAAAGTCCGAACCTATTCCGATCATTCGATTGGAGTCAATTTGATCTTGAAACTCATTTCACGTCAAATCAAAAATCCAAAACCATAGATTTGTATAGCCCAAAAATCCAAATCCAACGACACCAAGATCACCCAAACCCGACACCGTTTACCATTCACCATAAGACCCGAAGCTAGAACCGATTTTGATTGTCCGATTGGAGTCATTGTGATTTTGAACCACATTTCACACCAAATGAGAAATCCAAAACCATAGGTATGTAGATCCCATAA